GTTTAAATTCATTTTGTTTTTAAACCAAATTGGGGGTTTACGACGAGCCTGTTTCCCCCCCCCCCCCCCCCCCCCCCCCTTTTCTTTGGAGTGCACGACTCCAATCTGCTTCTTCTTCTTCTTCTTCTTCCTGTTTCTTTTTCATTGACCCTTGGAGAAATCTTCAATTCTTGTTACTCGTAGGGAGGGCTTGCTTTGGTGGCTGTGGCGTACATATACTACATTTCCTTTGTTTCTTCTCAAACCCGAGTCCGTATAGAGTGCGGCTGGTTCATTTTTTCTTCTTCTTCTTTTCTGGCCGGGCGTTGGGCTGTTCAATATATCCAAAAACAAGGACGTTGTGGGAACGTCTCCGTATCTAGGGGCAAATAAGGCGATAACAAAGTTATAATCCAATAATTCCAAACACCAGCAGCGCCCTATTTAGTTGTCACGGTATCATGTGGTAGTTTGGAATTTTCCCTTTGTCTGATTTCTAGTATGTTTACTTATTTTATTGGTTACAAAAACAACCAAGACATTGCAACTCGCATCCCTGCACGCTTCTTGTTTCCCTCCCCAATTAGGTATCAACATCCATGCTCTCTCCCTCAACTGGTAAGTCGACCACGGTGGCGTATCGTCCGATCTCGCTCTTAGTAATAATCTTTTCGTTCAAAACGGCCGTGGTGCCCTTAGGGAAGCGGTAGCTCTGCAGCTTGGCGCTCTTCTCGTTGGGCTTGATGTAGTTTCGCAGGAGGGTCGTCTTCTCCTTGGTGATGACGGCAACGTCGACGTTGGAACCGGAGCCCAGATCGTTCCAGACACCGGCGAGAATGGCATCGCTGCACAGCTTGACGGCGTCGTCCCGCGTCAAGTCAGGCTTCCACTGGGTCTCGAAGACGCTCATGGCCGCGAGACTGCCGGATCCCATGGTGACGTAGGGAAGCTTGTCGGTGCTGCCGTGCGCGTGGACGGTGAAGAGGTGGGTGCCCGTGGGATCGCAGCCGGCGACGACGAGGTAGGCGCCGATGTGGCCCTGGTGGCGGAACAGGTGCTGCTTGAGGAGGGTCATGCAGGTGACGACGCGGGGCTTGCGGCCGGTGGAGAGCGAGTGCAGCTCGAGCTGGGAGGAGATGAGGGCGGTGGTGAACTCGGTGTCGGCGGCGGTGCCGGCGCCGGCACACCAGATCTGGGGGGAGATGTAGTGAAGCTTTTCACAGTTCTTGTCGGCGACGATGGGGCCCGAGGTGGCTCGCGTATCGGCGGCAATCTGGCGGCAGGCGGGTTAGAGGTTGGGCGTCTTTGTGTCGTGGAGTTTGTGTGTGTATCGCCATTGTGTATAGGTAGGCAGGGAGAGAGGGGGAGGGGTGATTTGATGAAGAGGGACAGGGAAACGCAGATTCCCAACTCACCACAACGCCGCCGTCAAAGATACAACCGACAATGGTCGTTCCTGTGCTGGTCGCCCTGGGCAGAGGCACTCCCCTGGCGTGCAGGGCCGCATTGCGGTTGTAGTTGGAGAAGTCGAAGCCCGGCATCTTCTGCTGCTGCGATGCCCTACCGAACGGGTCGTGCCGTCTCGTCTATACTCTCGCGTGTACCGGAGAAGCCCCTCTAGATGGTGCTTCAAGTCTAGCAGCTGTGGAGGATCGTCAAGGGGGGACGTTGCTTGCTATTCAATGGAGGATGGAGGTTTGATTGTTTGGTTATGCTCAGCGAGCAGTTGGTAGCTGATGACGAGGCTAAAAGCTGCCTTCTGCCTTTAGGCACTGGTGGCACGTCTGCCAGGTATCGCAGCACCCAAACACGGCGGGCTCGGTACTTCGCACAAGCTCCAACCTGCTGTCTTCCCCTCTATAAATCGTCCCCTAGGCAAAACAGCAAGCTCTGATTGGCCCGCTGCCAACAGGTGGGAAGATGGAGCGCGACTGCATGCGCCATTGGCTGGAGCTGTCATGAACCCACGTGATTGCGCTCGGAGCTCCCAAAAAAGTTGATTGTTGTATGCAAGGGTCGCGACAGACCGCCCGGTAGAATATGGGACAGGCGCAGGTCCCTCTGCACTTCCAATCAACTACTTTTGCATCATCCGCCGCAGCAGAGCAATCGACGCGTCTTGTCGCCTCTTTGGCCCTTTACCCGGCCCTCGCCATTCTCGCAGTCTCTGCCTCCGAACTGGGCCCCGAATCCCGCCGGTGGGAGCTCCAGCGACGGACCTGTGAATCGCGCCGCAGACCCATGTTCGGGAAGCTGGATCGTTGACGAGATTCGGAGCTCATCCGGGTTGCTCTCTTCAGCCGCCATGTCCTTTGGCTTCAACGCTTCAGCAAACGCCACGAGCGGAGGCGCGGGAGGTGTAAATGCAGGGCCCGATCTGGAGACCATCCAAACCGAGGTAGGCAGAAGCTTTTTCTTCTTGCTTCACTTTTTTGTTTTGTGTTTTGTACAACTCAACACAGGCCGCGAGTCCCATCACTAACACACTGGTTCACAGGCCCTCGGCTTCCTATCCATCGCTGGTGATGCCAAGGTTCGCCTCACATCCGCTTGGGAGACGCTACCGACCGCCACGTCCTCGCTGCTCAGCGTTGCCTCGAAACGAGGTCTCGTTGCTGCCGCTGGTCCTGATCAGCTGGTCATCGCCACGACCGAATCGATTCGAAAGGCTTTCGAGGCTCCCAAGGATGGCGATTCCGACATTCGCGGCTTTGAGCCCCAGCTCAAGATCCCCATGCCCATGCGGGTTTCGCAACTCGTCTTTACCGCCGACGAGAATTACCTGGTGCTCTCTGCAGAATCCGGTGGCGGCCTCGCTGTCTACCAAGTCCAAAGTCTTCTCCAGGGATCTTCAAATTCTGCGTTTGAGCTCTCTACCAATGGGGAGGCCCTGAGGTCGTTGGTGCCAAACCCAACAATTCCGGAGCTTTGTGCCATTGTCACAAACAACGGCAACCTCCACATGGCAAATTTCCAAGAAAGAAAAATAAGCAATGCACTCAAGAGTCAAGTCAGCTGTATCAGTTGGAGTTCAAAGGGCAAGCAGCTCTGTGCTGGATTAGCAGATGGAACCATCCACCAAATGACGCCTGAGGGAGAGGGAAAAGCCGATATCCCCAACCCTCCCAATGTGGCCAACTGCCATGGTAAAAATTACTGTCCCCCGATAGAGAAAAGGCCTATGCTAACCCATGTTTTGAATAGTATCATCACTTACATGGCTTGAGAACAACCTGTGGCTCGCTATCCACTCAACTAGTGACTCGCCTCCCTCTTCCATTTATCACATCATTACGCGCCAACCGCCTTCATCATTCACCTACCAGAAACTCACGGACCCTGTTCAGCCTTTTGGATCAGACAAGGTCCCCCACCATTCTATACTTCGATTGCGAGATTTTCCCCCGGATCTGCAGGATCTCCTTATCGTCTCGTCGACTGCATCGACCGATGTTGGCCTACTGACGCGATCAAAGAATGCGCTGACAACCGATTTATCTGCCGAGTCCATCACAAATGTCTTCACTACTACCGAGTTGCTTGATGACTCTAAACGACCAACACTTCCGATGACTGACTCCGCAGACGATTCTACACCCATTGGAGTTGCTCTTGATCTTTCCAGCAAGGATAAGATTTACAAGCCTATACCAGCGGACGAAGAGCTTGAAGAATCGCCTACTCCCTTGCCGGGATTCTGGATTCTGACGCACGAAGGTGTGCTCTGCTCGTGGTGGATCATCTATACCGACTCAATTAAGAAGGCCATGCCCTATCCAGGGCTGACGGCAGTTCAAGGAGACACGGGATCTGTGCCAGCACCTGCCGCATCTTCGGCATCACCCTTTTCCAACGCAGCGCCATCGCCCTTTTCCTCATCAAGCGCAGCTGCTCCAGCTTTTGGGTCTTCGGCACAGCTTGGCCAAAAGGCGTCACCTTGGGGCGCGGCACCAGCTTCGGGAACTGCTGCGCCCAGTACAGGAGGGGCCTTTGGATCGAGTACTTTTGGGGCCGCAGCGCCAGCCGCTACGTTTGGGAAGCCGAGCGCCGTAGGTTTCGGCCAATCTTCGCAGCTTGGGATGCGAGCCTCTCCTTGGGCATCTGGTGGTGCAGGAACAGGAGCAGCAGCAGCAGCGCCCGGTCCGGCATTTGGCCAGTCGGGCTTTGCTGGCTTCGCAAACAAGAGCGCTCAGAGCCCGTTTGGGAGCACCCCTGCAAGCACAGCTCAATCCTCCACACCTGGTTCTTCTGGAGGATTCGCTGGATTTTCTTCGCAGGGTGGCTTTGCTTCCCTTGCCGGCAACAATAGCAGCAGTACCGGAGCTAGTGTCTTTGGTAGTGGCGGCACTCTAGCTGGAGCTGGGAGCGCTTTTGGATCTACCTCAACAGACACAGCATTTCCGGCAAAGCCTTCCGGAAGTGCCTTTGGCAGCCAAGAGAAGCCGTCTGGCAGCGTGTTTGGCTCTACTCCTTTCAAATTAGAAAGTTCTTTCAAGCCCGATCCGTCCCAAGGAGGCGATGACAAAGCGCCGGCAGCTTCTGGGTCATCAATGTTTGGATCTACTTTTGGATCTGCTCTCAATGACGCCGCATCCAAGGCTCCTGACTCCGCAGCATCGGCTAGAGATGAAGACATGGATACCGGTGAGGCATCTCCACAAACCGGAACTGGATCTGCAACTCCGTTAGCAACACAAGGAGCGTCAAGCTTTGGTGCCGCATCTTCAACAACCCCTGCTGCCTCCACCACCAGCACGACTTCACTTTTTGGCAGCAAGACAGCCACTCCTCAAACTACTGGTACCGGATTGTTTGGTACAGGAGGGGCCGCCGCCAAGCCTGCAGGTGGCTCTGGCTTGTTTGGATCTGGGTCATTTGGAAGCGCTTCAAAACCACCCGCTACATCGTCTGGACTTTTTGGTTCCGCTACTAAACCAGCCGAAGACGAGTCCAAGACGCCCACAGCCAAGGCCAACCCCTTTGCCACTCCTCTGCCTCCAGATGCGACCAGCAAGTCGTCATATCTCATTGGCGAGTCATCTGACTCGTCTGCAACGTCTACCACGTCTAGTCTATTTGGTAGTACCGCTACCTCTAAACCAAGCAACCCTTTCGCCACCGCTGCTAAGGATACCGACGCATCAAAATCATCTAGCTTTATCAAAGTTTCGAAGCCTTCTAATGAGCCGCCCACGGTCGTTGAAGATGCTCCTCTGCCTCCTGATCCAGTCAAGTCAAATTTCTTCTCCAAACCCAGCAATGCCGCTCCACCAGCCGCATTTGGGCTTCCTACCTCTGCGCCCAAGACTCGACCGAGCGTAACCTCTGCTCCGGCACTAGCATCTGAGGGAGAGGCAGAGAGTGATTTGGACGACAATGCTTCCGAGGGCAGCGGCGTGGATGTGGCCAGAGATCTCAGTCCCACGGCCATGGGATTGGGTACGCCAAAAGGCCCATTCAACGGCCTTGCACAAACCTCCAGAGCTGATCGGGGTCGGTCACAACAGCTTTTTGGAGAGCTCGGCCGAAGCACACCCACGATCGCCCAGCCAGGCGCAATTCCTCGATCGCCCAGCCCCTTGCGAGGTGGAGCGCCAAATCGCGCTCTCGTATCAGATATCACTAGATCCGCCAGTGCACCAGGCGTAGCTGCTCAGCTATCAGGTCCTAATAAGTCGCAGCTCGTTGCATCGGCTTCTGCTGGTAAAGACAAACCAGCTGCTGCTGATGCATTCATAGCCCAGTCTAGAAAACTGAGAGAACGACAGGAAGCCGAAGAAACTCGGGTGTTGATCGACGAAGAGGATGAGGAGGTGCAAAGGGTCCTCGCCTCTGAAGTTGAGGGCACTCTGGAGCTGGATGAGTTTATTGCTCACTCCAATGTTGCGCCGCCGGCCCAAGAGAGCATCCCTGCTCAAGTCGAAGCTGTTTATAGGGATATCAACTCAATGATTGACACTCTTGGACTCAACGCTCGCTCTGTGAGAGCCTTCATAAAGGGCCATACGGACGGCGGTGTTCCTGACGGCCGGAGTCCTGACGATCTCGATCATCCAGATGATTGGGTTCTATGCGAGATCGACGACTTGGGAGAGATTCTCGAAGTTGAACTTTCCGGTGACCTGGAGGATGGTCGAGTGCAGGATCTAACCGTTCAACTCGAAGCCTGCCAGGAGCTAGCCAGGGACATGCATCGACTGCGAGCCAAGCAGGAGGATCTGAAAAGGGTCATCATAGCGAGGGTAGATCCCAACCAGGCAGAGGCTACGCGATCGCTCCCTCTTAGCGCCGAGCAGCAGACGCAACAGAATGAGCTGAGGAGGGAATATACAAACTTCTCCAAGCTGCTTGCCGAAGCGGAAGAAGCACTGACTCTTCTCAAGACTCGCATTGCATCGCTCTCCAGTGCGTCCGGAAGGGGAACCACAAACGTGCCTACCGTAGAGGCCGTGATGAAGACAATCACGAAAATGACCAGCATGGTGGAGAAGCGTAGCGGAGACATTGATGTGTTAGAAACGCAGCTGCGGCGGATGCGGCTGGAGACTCCCAGCAGAGAGGAATCTCCTTTCCGGACACCCCAGTCAAGGAGGAGCATCTTGCTCTCTCCGGACGCGACACCGGCCCGTAACATGCGCCAGAGCCTAACCAGCAGCGTCATGTCTCTTACAACTCCGACGAAGGCGTCTACGCCGCGAAAGAAGGTCAGCGGCTACAGCAGGGATGAAAAGGGAGATTTGATGGACAAGAGGGCCAAGCGACAGGCAATCCTTGGGAGATTGAAGGACAACGTACAGAAGAAGGGCGTTAGTGTGTGGAACATGGAGGATATTGAATAAATGGGAAGAAGCGGAAAAACAAAGACAAAAAAAAAACATTGGGACGGGAGGACACACGGCGGCTTTGCCAGATATAGCAGGGCTGCTTGATTTGTAGGATGAAAATTTAGGTTACTGCCATGGGTCAATAGGTTAGATAGCATGTCATGAAAGCTCAGCTTTGACACACAACTAAAGCAACTCGATACGGGTTATGGATTCTATATACTTTGTTTCCCTTAGATATTGTATTAGGATGTTGGGGTTGACTATTGTTCCTCGAGAAGAGATTTCAATGGATTCATCATTCATTAATGGGTAGGATTTCTTGAACCTATTCTTAATACATTATAGCAGCGATATGTATAAGACAGTATCGCAATTGAACAGCCTTGGTGTCATTATTGGATTAATTCATAAACAATATTTCTCACATATCAACTCCTCCGACCTCATCCCGGCCTCTTCATTCTGAATCTCCTTTGGTCACGCGGATTCCGCAAATGCTGCAGCAGAGACGAAAGATAGCCGCCATCCTTTTTCGCCTCATCAACGCTGATTCTATGTTCCTTTTGCAGAGTATATTTCCGAAACGCCTGAAAGTCGCGCCACACCCGCACCTTTTGATTCGTGCGCCGCGCATCAATCAAGTCGACAATGTTGACGAGTTTCTTCTTGAGGCTCTCCTTGCACTCGGCGGCGGTGATGCCCGGCGGGATGCCGACCTCGATGCACAGGTCCCGGTAGCCCTGCAGGATTTCTTCTTCCGTGGGCTCTGCTTCCCGGGTGCTGTCGAGGGCTTGAGAGGAGAAGTAGTGCGTCTTGAGCTCTTCGCGCATGGCGATGGTGCGCTGCTTTGTGTATTGCTGGGAGCCGGGGAGCCATTGCTGGGAGAGGGCGAGGCGGGCGAATTCTGCGTCGAAGGGCGCGGTGTGGCTGGGCGTGAAGTTTTGGAATTTGGCGAAGTGGGATTGGGAGGATGGAGGGGGGGCAATTGTGTCGTCTTGGGAATCGTCTTGAGAATCGTCTTGAGACTGATATTGGGAGGATGGAGAGGGATCCATGTTGTTGTCTTTGATGGTTGCTGATATTATATGATAGTCTACTGGGTTCTTTAAGGGGGAAGAGGGACGTAAGACGATGAAGGAAAATAAGACGCGAAGATGGGGAATAAAACAACAATGATAGAAGCGATATCACCTGCATATGTATGTGTGTACCTACATTTGGTAATTCACTGAATCCTACTGAGACGCATGCATGTTGCTTGGTCTGCCAGGCAGTTGATGACCAGCTGTACAATAGTGAATAGCATCGAGCACACAGGGGTGTTTAAATGGAGCCCTCAGAACGCTGTATACGATGTTATGATGATAATTGCAAAGTTACACGATTAATGATCAACATGATTCATTACATCTCTTCATGTAATTGATCTTGCCATCTCTTGTCTGTTCTAGGTTATGAATGACATCTTCACAGAGCACTTACGGGGAAGATACGCCAAATCCCAAACCAGCTTAGTGCTGCATCTCCAAGACCCACCCTTCTCGGTGAGCGCCGTCCCTCACCGGCCCTCACCTCGGAGGGGCTAAATTCTAGCTATCGTCAAATCGTTATCGCATCCAAAAAATTTCCCCAGATCACCACCCAGTCGAGCCGAGTCAATCCTTTCTTGCTTGTCTAATCCTCATATTCTAGCCCAGACACAATGGCTCCCAGCGCGGAGGAGCTGCTGCGCCGAAACGTAAGAAGAAGAATTCCTTTCTGACCAGCTTCATTGAAGATTTTTTCCCATGAGTTGCTGACAGAGACATCTCTTTTTTCATAGACGGTTGGCATCAACAAAGAGACAGTCTCCAACGTTGCCTCGACCGATTTCCCCGGCCACTTCCCCGGCGAAGACCACGCCTTTTCCATTGAGCGCTTCCGATCCGCCTTCTCCGTCCAGTTCCACCGCAACGACCTCAACGATGCGTCCTTCTCCCTCATCGGCATCGACGCCTCGCTCGCCAACGCCTTCCGCCGCGTCCTCATCGCCGAGATCCCGACCCTCGCCGTCGAGGACGTCTACATCGAGAACAACACCTCCGTCATCCAGGACGAGGTCCTCGCCCACAGGCTCGGCCTCATCCCCTTCAACGGCGGCCGCGACGGCATCCACAACTTCCTCAAGTGGTACAAGAAGCCCGACGCCGGCGAGGACCCTTACGCCAACAGCTTCGACTGGAACACGGTCCGCCTCGAGCTCAACGTCACCTGCACCGTCAACCCCGACGCCGCACCAAACGAAAACGACCCGCTAAAGGCCTACCACCACGCCCACGTCTACGCGAGGGACATTGTCTTCGTGCCCACGGGAAGGCAGGTCGAGTACTTTAGCGGCGACAACGCAATCGTCCCCGTCAACCCGGACATCCTCATCGCCAAGCTGCGCCCCAAGCAGACCATCAACCTGGCCATGCACATGCACAAGGGCATCGGCGCCGACCACTCCAAGTTCTCGCCCGTCGCCACCGCCTCCTACCGCCTGCTGCCGCTCATCCACATCACCAAGCCCATCATCGGCGCCGACGCCGAAAAGTTCCAGCGCTGCTTCCCCCAGGGCGTCATCGGCCTGGAAAAGGTCACGAGGGAAGAGGCGAGCAAGTCCGGCAGCGGCTACGAGGGCCACGCCGGCGAGCTCAAGGCCGTGGTCAAGGATTCCATGAAGGACACCGTCAGCAGAGAGGCGCTGCGGCATCCCGAGTTCGAGGGCAAGGTCAAGCTCGGCCGGAGGAGAGACCACTTCATCTTCTCCATCGAGAGCACGGGGCAGTGGGACAGCGACGAGCTGTTCCTCGAGGCGGTCAAGCATCTAAAGCTAAAGTGCAAAAAGTTGGAGCAGCAGGTCATCAACATGGTGCAATAATTGGTCTTTGTTTTGGTTGAAGGCGTTTTTGTACATAAAACGGGGGGCATGGTTATTGCGTTGTACATGTGTTTCGACGCATGCATTTTTCTTGTTTTGCTTCTCCATGTGTCTCATTTATTTCATGGATATGGATAAATAAAAGAAATGAATCAAACATCTGAGATCCTCTCTTGTTTCTGTTTTCTTCAAGTCTGTGGACATGTACAAATATGTGCTGATATGACCTCCAGAAAGAAAGAAGACTATATGTAGAAGTGCGTCCCGCCGATAGTGTCTCCAACGCCAGGAAAATGCCCAAAATGAAACGAAACCCTTCCGTAAAACACCCAAAGCGTCATTGCAGATGACAAAAAGATGATAGACAAGAACCAACGAATGCCCCGCTAGGGACTCTCTGCTTTGAATCTAAAGAAAAAGTTGAATTCGAGGGGGAACGCAGGGTCGGTAACCACAACCTCTTGGCCATTTTCCAGCCCTAGGTCTTTGAGCGACTTGTTCAGGTTTGGCCTCGTTTGCTCTTCCAGGCTTTGCGGAACCTGCATGTAAAGAGTCTTGCCCTCCGCTCGTATGGATGGCTTCTTCAGCTGAGCTTCGGGACGAACGGCAAACGAGTCCAAGAGGTCCTGAAGCGTCATGTTAGGATCAACGTCCAAGGGTCGAGCTTCCCGTCCGCAGACTGGGCAGTCCTCCTTCTTCTCGTGCTTGAACGTATACGTGTAGATGCTGTCGTTGCCAGAGTACATCATATAGTTGTTCTCAAACCCCAGACACGTCGCTGTGGTTGTGGCAATCTTGAATGCCTCGTTACAGCACGCGGCCGCGATGATGGCATTTGTTGACGCAATGGCGGGGATAATGTTCTTGATCGTTCCTTGCGTGAGCGAATATGTGATTCCTGGAATGTTAAACTCCTCTGCGCGCTTGAGAGCCTTTTGGTAGATCCATGTGACATGCTCGGGATCGTCTTTGTCGAGCTTTGGAAAAGGCTTCTCTTGCTCCCAAGCAATAACATGGGCCCACTCGACGCAGTGCTCCGGCTGTCTCGGGATAGAAGCAATCGTGCAGAGCGGGACAGCAGCTCTGGGGGCGTGCATGTCCAACTGGCATTCTATGCATGAAGTAAAGGAGGGAAAGATGACCCTGGCCTGGCCCTTGAAGCCCTCAGTACCGCCGTCAATCAGTGGCTTGACTCCATCAGGATCTTCAGACTCCTCCGCGATGGAGACTAGCATGGCGTTGATCCACCGTCGAGCTTCAATGCTGTCCAAGCCGCAGATGACGAGCTGGAACTGCTTGTAGAATTCATCGTCGAAGTCTTGGATCCGTTTATTGTGAGCTGTGATTGTAACGCCCTTGACTCTTTTCTCGACGAACTTGGCTGCGACTTCGGCCTTGAATTTCCCAACGTCTGATTTGCGAAAGAGGAATTGTCGGTTCAGATTCGAGATGTCGATGGTATCTTATCCGTACGCCGTGTTAGTTCAAACGACAGCCCTCTTCGTGTATACTCGATGCGCCTTACCCATATCGATTACATGGATATCCTTGAACTTGGACATGGCTAGATTCTTAAGGATTTCGCATCCCAAACCACCTGCGCCACTGCCGCCGCCATTAGCCTGAGCCTCGAGTAGGAAACATCGGTGCAAGGTAGGACAAACATCACCCTGTGCCTGGTTAGCCAAACTCTCGCTTCTACCTCTGCTTCGCCTCTTGTGCTACGTACAGAATCTTGAACCGCTCGAATTGGGCCAGGAACTCGTCTTCTACAGCTTCTGGGTTTGTAAACGGGCCCGGCGTGCGTCTGATTTGCTCGAGGTACTTCCTGCATCTCCGTCAATACATGCCCGGGCAATCACCATTTCAGGCACTGACCATCGTGCCTTTTCGCTGTCGGCAGCGACGTCCGCTGCTCTCTGGGTCTCGACACTCATCTCGCGGTAAACGATAGTTGAACCAGGCTTCAAAATACCAATATGAAAAGGTGGAAAGATGGCGGAATTCGTAGGTGCTGTGCTGAGTACGGAGGAGGAAGAGGAAGCTCCGTGCAGCTGTTGGGCAAGGTGGGGAGGAGCTTGCCATGGCCTCGGTGGAGGTTCGGTGAGTGTCGGTGAGGTCAGGTGAATGTGGGGTTTGGCCTTCACCTGTTCGCAGCTTCGTAGCTCAGCGTCTTTCTAAGCTGCAACAACCACAAGCAACCAATAAAAGAGCTGGTCATCTTTCCTCTGTCCCAGGACTTGAACCTGAAATTTTCTTTCGACATTATCAACTATCTTAGCAGCTTGATGGCCCTACAACTGCCGCTGCCGCTACTCTGAAGCATCTTCAGAAGCGCAAGGTAGCGGCCATGGACGAACTACTGACCCCGGTCAGCACCACATATCTAAAGCCCCGGAAAGATGCCCAGCCGCTCCTATCCGAAGTCAGTTCGACTAAGAGGGTGGTCGAGATCCCCAAGGTCTCTCAGGTGGACTCACCGGATGGTGCGTTGGAGCTTCTTCGAAACCAGCCGGATTACGATTCCCTTGTCCAGGTGTTGAGGTATCTCACCAAAGATGATGGACAGACGGATAGCTTCAATGTCCACATGCCAGGCCCGAAAAGCGCAGCGATAATTCACGTCCTGGTCACAGATATCGCTTCCAACTACTGGGCTTTGTTGAAAGAAGGTGGCGAAAGCGACGGCGTTGAAGGCAATCGTAGCGACCTACGTCTATTTGTGACATGTTTACAGAGCGTCACCGGACTTAATGCAGTTCTTTCTCATCTCAAGGCGCTCATACAAGAGCAAAAGTCTGGATCCAAAGAATCAAAGCGACCTGATCTGGTGCTGCACATTAACATTTTCCTCGACTTGTTGACGACGGTTCTGGATGGTGAGAATGCCATTCAAACCTTGTGGACAGCTTCAACCGAGAAGCTGGGTGCTCAAACGCTGAAAAAGGTGCAGTCTCAGGCACTGCTCTCTTTAATTACTAGCGGTCGTATTCAATCTATCGCTTCCGAAGCAATTGAAGCTGCTGGGTCAGAAAATGTTGACTCCAAAACAATATGGCCCGCCGATGGAGCCAAGTTTTCGCAATGGGTTGGTCATAATGTCATAGCCTGGGCTAAGCTCATCAGAAGCGAAAGCGAATTGCACTTCTGCTCAGACGTTTTTCAACGAGGAATGTCGCTAGGCTATCTTGGTACGTTCTACAGATATCGGCATCGTTACCCTCCACTTACATGGTGTAGAAACCCTTGTCAAGACCGTCATTGATGGCCTCCTTCTTCAGAAGGGGAATAATCCCAACGACTTTGCCAAAGTTTGCTTTGCTCACCCACATGGCGCCAGGAAGACCATGAATATCCTATTACAGCACCTTGCTCAGCAACTGAATAGTCTCGATTTAGACCATCCATCTTCTAGAGGGCTCATTTCTGCCGTTGCTGGTATCATTGACGCAGTCATAAAAGGCAATGATACTCTCTATAACCATCTCGTTAACTGGTGTGCTTCATCCTCTGGTGCTGGCCTAGGAGACGCTGTAGGTATTCGAAGAGCCATTCTCGCCGTTGTAGCCCAAAATAAGGATGGTATTACAACTGTGTTTGAGAAGAGCTTGGCCCAGTTTGGAGATCAATTATACATCAAACATGCAGCAATATTGCAACAAAACGGTACGGCTCCTCTACATAGCTCACATTGCACAGCGTGCTGACACCTTTTAGTTCATACAGAAGTGTTGCTACTAAGTGCAGGGTACATCTCCAGAATGTCTCCCATCAAGCTGAGAATAATTGTGAGATCTGGCTCCTACTTGACAGCAATCTCAAATCGCATCGCAGCAACTCAGGCAAGAGCTCGATTCTTGGGTTTAGTTGTTGGAGAATCTCTCTCAACCTTGATGGACGACAAGAACCAAAAACTTGACTTCCATATGGAAGAGACAGAAAGCGAAGAGGCTCAATGGTTAAAATCTCTCACCACCATCTCTGATGAGGTTGGCTCTATTGAACCTATCCTCAGGACAGAATTTACAGGACTACCAGTGAAGAAGGAGACTCGACCACCTCATAAACGAACACAAAAGCCAAAAGCAAAGCCAAAAGCAAAGCCAAAAGCAAAACCCGAGCCCAACGTCTCGACCATCAAACCCATAGCTATCATCGAAGAAATTGATTCCTCAGACGATGAAGAAGATCTCATCCCTTACGCCAAAGGTTCTGACCCAGAAGATTCCGACGACGACGCCACATTAGTCCAACGTGATAAACCAAAAGCCCCCGTCTATATCCGTGATCTGATTCTATATCTTCGCGACACAGAATCATACGATAAACAAAAATTGGCCCTGCAGAGTGCACCGCTTTTGATTCGGAGGAAAGCAAACTTTGGCATGGAAGTGAGCTCACACGCAGATGAGCTCGCCGGCTTATTCGTCGGACTGCAAGACAAGTTCGACATAGAAGATTTTTCAGATTTAAAACTTCAGGGTATGATGGCTCTGATCGTTGCTCAGCCGAAATCCATGGCCCCCTGGTTCTCTCGGACCTTTTTCGAAGGCGACTATTCCTTGTCGCAACGAACGCAAGTGCTCGTTGCCATTGGGCTGTCAGCCAGAGAACTCGCTGGGTTCGATGCCTCTGAATATCAGGCCGCCGCATCGTTCCCTTCCAAGCGACTGCCAGAGAAAATTGAGCAGCTATACCTCGACTCATCCAAGCCGGGTGATGTGAACCCCCCATCTCAACTAAAAGCGCTACCTTCAGCCGCTCTAGACACAATAACGCAGTCTCTCACATCCTCTTTCTTGCAACCGATGGCTGCCAAGGCAGCTGACGCCACGACCGGACCCGACATTCTCAAACTGCAAACCTTTACAGCCCGCTACAAGTCCAAGACCAAAGCAAAGCCCCGCGTCCGTGCGATCCCCAATACCACCGCCGCTCTCATCGCAGAGTCCTTCTTCTACCCCCTTACCGCCCACTTCCAGGTCGCTCTTCGGTCATCCCGGCCCGTTATTCTCAATCCTGCGCTGCTGGCACTTTACCTTCAGACGCTGGGCATAATCATCCACTCAGCAGGCCCTTCGACGCTTTCGCTGCCGCAGCTCACGACGGAGCTGTGGGATTTACTTCTCGCCGTCAGGATTCACACGCAAGACGATCTCGGTGCGTTGAAGGGCTGGCTCGTCGCCATGGCTTCGTTGTTGGAGGTCAATGATGGCGATATGCGCAGGTTGTGTGAGACTCAGGGGCGCGAGGTCATGGAGACGCGGGAATGGGCTGCAACCGTGTTCAATAAGATCCGAGGTGAGGATGGAGGAGAAGAGAATGAGGTCAAGATGCTATCCGCGGGCGTACTTATTAAGCTCGGAGAGGCGATTGAGAAGTACCAGGCCCTGTTGATGGGTAACATGGTTGGCTTCTCATGAGGGAGAGTATTCATAGAACGGTAGAAAAAGACGTGCCACAATGTGGAAATATATCAGAACTAATATGGTGAGACCTGAAAACAAATTCCCGTTGAATCCAACATCGACTTATCCATCGCGCCTATTGTAAATCTACCATTGCTAGCATTGCAATGATCTCCCTTCACCAAGCTTTCCAAAGCAAGTAAGTGCTGTTTTTAAATGTACACTTGTCATGGTACAGACATGTTGTGACTCTTGATCCATCACCACCAAACACCCTTTTCTTTTCTAAATAAACAAATCCAACAAATCACTTCACCCCTCTGTCCCAGCCAAACGCCCCAAGTTTAAATCGCACCACCCTCTGGATCCAACGAATAATGTGTATGTGTACTTTTCCTGCGAACAGGCAGAGTCGACAGATACGAGTTGACATAGCTAAGATGGTCCCCAAGACTCATAGCCAACCGCCGCAACTCGCTTCTGACTTCTTCGGGAGAAGCTTGGCCAAGCATGGCATTCGGCATAGGAGCCGCCGGGAGAGCAGGAAGCGGTGCCTCAAAGTGCCGCATAGCAGGGCGTGGACGTGGAATAGGAGGAGATTGGCTATGCGGAGACCGGCTACGCGGAGAGTACTCTCGCTGTGACGATGCATATTGCGACGGTGCATACTGGGGAGTGCTTGGAGCGGGAACTGGTTCCGGAGGCAGCTCAGGATCCATATCGGCAAAGTCGCTGAGAGAGTAGGGCCGGCCTTCATTGAACACCGCGGTGTTGGGCTCTTTGCTCATGTGCGAATCATCATGCTTTGATACTTCATCCAGCGAGAGGTCCGGGATACTCGTGAGTACATGCGCATACTCAGAGTCATCCGAGATGTAAATCGAGGGCTCTCGGTTCGTAGCATTCATAACGTAGAGCGAAGCGTGTTTCTCCAGCTCAAAGGGGTTCCCGCCACCAATCTCCGAGCCGCTGATGGAGCCGACATCAGAATGGGACGTCGAAGGACGGGTAAAGTCCGTCGAGGAGTCGGCGAAGCTCATATCGAGATCAATCAAACTCCCCACAGACGCACGATGGTCGGCCGAGGCAGTCTGCGAAAGTTCGCTGAGACTAGCGGTATGCTGGTAGGGCGGTTCGGTGGCGGCGTGGTGAACAAGTGCAGGTCGGCCATCGTCTGGCGGGGAAAGGTTGTTGGTGAAGGGAAATTTGAAATCCTGCGGGTCGGCAGACACGGGCGCCGTCATTGAAGGGAATTTCCAATCCTGAGTACGCCGATTGTCTTTGAGATCGATTGGGTCGCTCATCGGCCCCCTGACGAAGCTTGCATCATCAAAGTCATAATCCAAAGGTGCATGCGAATCGCTGGGCTTGATAGTGTCCAAGTCGACAAACTGCGACAGCTCTCCGCCGTGAAGCGATACGTCCAGGTCGATCAGAGATTCCCTAACATCCGGCGTATGTGCGGTCTCGTCTCGGAGAGGTAGATCCGATATAGGCGCCTGGAACGGCTGGCTATAATATGCTCTCGAGTTTTCTTCATAGGTAGATATGGTATTCGGATCAAAGATTTTCTCCAAAGGTGCTTTCACCGAAGGAAGATGGGGTGGAGGCCTCCTTCGCGATTTGGGCTTTTGCGGACGAGAAGTTTCATCATAGCCTTCCGGGTTGAATTCCACCTTTGATCCATACACATCGTAAACATCTTGAGCATCGCCTTGGTCGAGGACTTGCTGATCAAAGGCCGCAGTCGTGCTGAAGTTCCACTCGTCGTTGGAGATTGCGGCTGAGAGATCAGCCAAGCCCTGGGCGCCGCCGGCAGAGAAGAGCGACCTCCGATCTCCTCCCTGAGCCTCCCACAATTTGAAGGCTCGAACTAGATGAACGAGAGACGAGGTCGGGTGTGACTCTTCCGTATTACGGACATATCTGTGGAGCTGTACCTGCTCGATCGTTGGTCGCTTTGCGGCGTCATGCTGAAGGCAGTAGGACACCAAATCTCTCAAGCCAGCCGAATATTGATCACCCTCGAGCCGAGGCGTATGGTGCTTCAGATGCGACCCTAGTCTCGAGAAATCGATTCCAGCAGTGACATTTGGTGGCAAGCCGGAAGCAATCTCATACACCATGGCACCAAAAGCCCAGATATCGACCTCTGTTCCATACGACGCATCCTTGTCGAAGAGCTCAGGCGCCATCCAGTGAGGAGTTCCAATAAAGGTTGTCCGCTTGTCAACCTTTGTTTCGATCACACCGGCAACGCCAAAATCGCAGAGCTGGACATCGCCGGTCTCGGTGACCAAGACGTTGGCACACTTGAGATCGCGATGGATGATGCCTTGACCATGGACCCAATGAATGGCCTCGGCAACTTGACGCACAATGGGAATAATCCACTTCTCCAACAATCCGCCGGGGGCCGTTGGTCTCATGAGCGTGGCGACGCTCCCTCCGGCGCAATACTCGGTCACCATCCACATGGACTGGCCAACCGGCAGCGCCTCGATAACGTGGTTGATGTTCTTGGCCCCGCTGTCGCTCAGCAACTGCAGGGCATTGATCTCCTTGAGCAGGTCGCTGTAAGTATCGGCCAGCTTGGGATTCAGAGTGTCGCTCTCTTCAATGTCGATGATTTTGACGGCAACCAGCTGGCCGGTTTTCATAGCGGTTGCTTTGTAAACCCGGCCAAAACTTCCCTTGCCAACGAGCTCTTGAAGCTCATACTGTGGGGCTTGCTTGCCGGCCTTTGTGCAGCTCTCGAAGACGGCATTTTGCATCTTCTTTGCATCCTCGAGAGCCTTTTGCTTGGTGACGGACACGTCGGGCCATCTCACCTGGAGGGACATTTTTGCGTCGGGCCTCTGGCTGGATCTGGCGCTGTCATGGACTGGACTGGGCTGTGGATGTTTTTGTGGTTCGTACAAGTGCGAGATTGATCTCGTACGAAGAAGATGCAAACGCTCAGTTCAGCCCAGCTCACTCGTGAAGATAATGGCCAGGGTTCGTTGCAGCCATCTTCACGCAGCTCACCAGCCCCAGATGAAGTGAAAGTCGTGGATGGAAATGATTCGTCTCGAGAGAAGTTGTAAAGATGAGATGCCTGACATTGAAGTCCAAGGGAGAGGCGCAGCGCTTAGGCGGGGTTTAGCCGCTGTGAAGCCTCAGCCATTCATTTGGCTGGTGCAAACGCGGTGCCAATTTTAGCCTCCTCGGAATGTCATCGTTATCTATGACTGCAGCAAATAAGAATAAGCACAAGACACGCGAAAGAGAAAGAAGTGAAGCCTATTGGATATTTCCGTTGCCAATATTCAAAGCAGATTTCCTACACAAGCAGGATAGAGCCGTTAAACGAGAGAAACAAACAGAAAATCCCATCAACACAGCGCTTTGCATTGCAGCGAAGAGCCAGCATAGGCACATGGAATTCCTTCCCCCGCCTTGCTGAGACGCTGACAAGATGACATGCATTGCATTTGCCCACCTGCTTCTATGTATGACTATGATGACGATGGGCTCTCCTTCATCAGATTCACAATCTTGCCGTGAAACGTTGTCCAGTTGGTGCTGCACATGTTCTTCACCGTGCCAACCAGCAGTCTGGATGCCTTGATCAGGACATCCTCGACCAGCTCTATCCCGCCGCTCTCGTTCTCTCTCACTGTCCAGACCGTCTCCATCACCACATTGAGCGGGCTGTACAGCCTCACGAAGACACCCTTCTCCAGGTTCACAAACTCGTTTGTGCTCTCAACGTTGGAGTCCCACAGCCCAGCAGGGAGCGTGTGCACCTTATCCGTCACCGAGTAGTACTCAGGCTCCCCTATTGCGACAAGCCCTCTGTTGGCTGGGATAGTTGGTGTCTCAAGCTTTGATGGCCGAGGGATGGGCTCGAACTTGACCATGTGAGGATCACACTGCATGTGAAGATTGTGGTTTTGTATGATTTCCAGAGCCCTGGTACTTGTGATTTCCGCGGGCAGAGTTGTTACATTCTGTAGCGTCGCAGTGGTGTTGAGCCACGCTACAAGATTGTCAATACAATTCGCACCCATTTGACGGCAGTTGAAGACTCACAAGCCATGATCGCTTGATGTAGTTAAATAATGATTATTGGAATCGGGTTTGTAATGCTCGAAGGCACTTCTCAGAACAACTAATATTCTAAAAAGTTGTCCGAATGGTGTTGACGCCTCTCAGGAGATGCAAAGTATGGTGAGGAAGATGAGACGGCGAGGCGCGGCGGTACTTGTAGAAACCCGAGACTCGCGACGTCTCACAAAGTACCGGCCGTTATGTTACACAAGGGTGACGAAGCCCAGATGCGCTCCAGGTACGCTAGTCAGCTGAAACAAGGAACACGAGGGTGTATCTCGAAATAAGCTCTCGGGCATCATGTCATGGCGCTGGATACGGAGTGCACATGAAAAGTGTTAACTAACAAGCAGCGTCATCAACCATCTCTTGGGGATTCGGGTTATCAGCAATCCCAGCACGGGACATCTTTTACACCGCAGCCATTCCTAGGCAACGATCCAGCAAAGGAAGGCCTTGATGGCGGCAAATTGGTATTTCGAATATGGTGAATGCTTCTATTGTATTATAAGTGGTTTCGGTTTACTTTGTCTGCATTTGCAATCGTAATGGTATTCACCTGACCAAAGACTCCATTCTACGTGACTTGACTTGATCTACACAATCTCCAACTTCTCAATGTCTAGATCAACACTCCAAGTCCCAAAATAGAACAATCCATCGTTATGTAATCTTCGCACCCCGCCAATTAGCATTCACGTGACTACGTGAAGTCATTACTCAAGCCATAACGCGAGTTCGTATGCAGACGTGAATTATAACGAAGAAACCGTGCAAAGCAGCAGAAATCCGGTGCTGCTGTTTCGAAGTAGCATCCGCCATCATGGTCACCTCTACAAAGATCAACCGGGTGAATACGCCGAAGAAGGCAGCCGCAGTTTCAAGCTTCAATAAGAAACCTGCCAAGCCCAACGCCAGCATTCTAAACTTTTTCCAAAAAACGGCAAAACCAGAAGATTCGCTCTTTGTCGGCGCGGTACCTGCGGAAACGGCCGACAAGGATGACTTATATGGCCGTGACGATGGAAATCGATTCAATGAGGTTGAAGCTCCGAATAAGAAGAGGAGGGTGAGCAAAGAATCCGTTCAGCCAGCGGCGGGGAAGCAATCGGCGGATGCATTAGAAGCATCTCCTCTAGGTGACCCAATAAAGCCGATAAACCCTGAAAACGGGGACGAGCCAAAGAAACCTAGGCCTCGGATCAAGACGCCCTTTGTCATGGATTCTGATAGCGAAGATGACGACGTTGACGATCACGACGACAACAATTCCAAGCCCATCACACCGCCGCAGGGCAAGAATGCCAACACTGCTGCTCCATCACCTCCATCCGCTCAGCCGGAACCATCGAGTGAGACCGCGGAAGCCAAAGATGCCAATGTCAAGTATGAACCGCCGCCGCTTCTCGAGCAAGAAACCTCGACCGACATTCAATTTAACCAACTGGGGGACTTCGCTGACTTGGACGATTTCGACGTAGACGAGTTTGAAGGTGAAGAGATGCGGGAAATGCGCTTCATGCGAGAGCAGGCCCGGCTTGAAGCCCAAGAGACCGGAGCTCCTGGCGACGACCTCGACGACCTTTTGGATAATCACGCCATGGTAGAAAACTGTCCACTCTGTGGCGGCAGCTTGCTCGGCATATCTCCAGACGAAGCTACGCGACATGTCAATTCATGCCTCGATGGCAATCCCATTCCGCTACCTACGAAAGAAGACGCCGCGTCCAAGGATGTTGCTGAAGTGGAGGCCATGGAAATCAGCAAAAGATTTGCTCGAGCTGCCGTCCCTAGACCTGGTCAAGCAAATCCTTTCGAGATCAATACTGAGAAAACGGCCAAAAGTGCTTTTTCTAAGCTAATGTCTGGCAATGCGGAAGATTCGGCTTGGGCTACGGCGGCGGCGGCAGAAACTGCGTCTCGGGGCCGGCCTGCATACGAACGGACATGTCCATTTTATAAAATCATGCCGGGATTCTCAATATGCGTCGACGCATTTCGCTACGGTGCTGTTGAGGGATGCCAGGCGTACTTCTTGAGTCACTTCCACAGCGACCACTACATCGGCCTTACCGCAAACTGGCGACACGGCCCAATCTATTGCAGCAAGGTAACCGGCAGCTTGGTCAAACAACAGCTCCGAACTGCAGCCAAATGGGTCGTCGAACTGGAATTCGAGAAACCCTATGACGTTCCCGGGACTGAAGGCGCAACCGTCACCATGATGCCTGCCAATCATTGCCCAGGGAGCTCTCTATTTCTCTTCCAAAAACCGTTTGGCAACGGGCCGAACAAGCGAATAAAGAGAGTATTGCATTGCGGCGATTTTCGGGCTTGCCCGGAGCACGTACAACACCCCTTACTCAGACCCGATGTAATAGATTCAATATCAGGTAAATCAAGACAGCAGCGGATTGACATTTGCTATCTCGATACGACGTATTTAAATCCACGATACTCTTTCCCTCCTCAGGGAGACGTCATTCAAGCCTGCGCAGACCTGTGCGGGTCCATGTCGGCTGATCCCAACTGCGCCGATGATGTCTGGCAGAGGTCTGAGAAATCTGCCGGGACAGGGACCATGAGCAAATACTTTCAAAGCGACAAACCGTCAGAATATGACGCTGGATCGAAGGCCAAGTCCAGGCCCAAACAGCGCCTTCTGGTGATATGCGGTACTTATTCCATCGGCAAGGAGAGAATTTGCGTAGCCATAGCCAAAGCCCTTGGCTCCAAGATTTTTGCATCCCCAGCGAAAATAAAGATATGCAAGCAGCTCGATGATCCAGAATTGACCTCGCTGCTGACGTCTGATCCTGTCGAAGCCCAAGTTCATATGCAAATGCTCATGGAGATCCGCGCAGAAACGTTGCAAGAATATCTAGACAGCTACAGGCCACATTTCAGCCGCATTGTTGGCTTCCGCCCCAGCGGCTGGAACTTTCGGCCTGGAAACGGCAAGGCTATCGGGGCCAATACACCTCCAAGTAGCATATCAACCCAGCAGCTTCTTCATGGGAAATGCTGGAGGACAAGATTCGGAGTGAAGGACCTTGTGGCTCAGAGGGGTAGCACGAAGGAGGCCATGTGCTTCGGCGTTCCCTATTCCGAGCATAGCAGTTTTCGGGAGCTGGCCATGTTTGTCATGAGTTTACGCATTGATAAAGTTATACCCACTGTCAATGTCGGCAGCGATCAGTCGAGAAAGAGGATGAAGGGTTGGATCGATAGATGGATGACTGAGAGGAGAAAGGGAGGACTGGTGAGACCGTTGATCGAGGGAGAAGACGACGAGCACAAGAATGATTCCCAGCTGTGGCAAGGCAAAGCCGGCGAAGGGGGTGGAGCTTGGTGGTAAAAATCCAAAACAAACCAGCTAGATATCATAAAGCTTTTATTAAAACGTCCAAAGTGATGCTGGTGAGAAAACCGGCGGTCCGTTGCCCATGCCATGAGAAACGCCAAATGACTGCTTTATATCTGCAACAAGCCCCAGTGACCATCCATCACACTCCGATGCTCCGATCCAGGTGTTATTTTTTCCCCTCTCCTTTCCCTTCTATCTCAAGCAGAATACCAGAAACCTCTTCCTTGGCTAGTAATCACATGTCATACCAAAGATCCCTTATTTCGCTTTCGCCTGCTGTGCAGCAGCTTCTATAGACACGGTTAGTCTTTGATGCGTGATTCCCCCCCTACGTCTAGATCTTACCTCTCCGAGTAGCATCCTCCAACAATTGGGTATCAACCGACGCCGCCGGAAGGTGAACATATCGCACAACGGAACCACGAATAAAGACGTTCTTGACGGAGCTCTACGAAAGATTCGTCAGCCCATACTCCTCCAGCAGAGAGAACACCAATGCTTTCATACCAGGTGAGGATACTTGAGCTCCTCCACGACTTGAATGTCATCGAGCTTGATATTGAGGTACTGGTCCACGCTTTTCAGGATGCCCTTGAGCTGGATGTCGTTTTTGAGCTCCACGGTGACCTCATGGTCGATGAGCGTCTTGAAGAAACTAACCCCAAAGAAATCAGCCATCCATTCTCTCTACCACTGTCCACTGCTACTGCATCATCTGACAATGAGCATCGCGGGCGAAAAGACGCACCTGAAGAAGAGCATGATGACAGGATTCGGATTTCAGCTACCCTTCTCAAGCTATGTTTAGGCGGCGGGGTGATTTTCAACAAGGTTCGGTCCAAATGCGGTGCTCAGAACAGCGACGTGCAGCGTTGAAGGTGATGACGACGATTCGAATTGCTTGTATATTTGTAATGAGATTTTTTTTTTTGGGAGGGGCGTTGTATATCTTTTCAGGTCGCTTTTTCATGGGGTGAAATTGTCATGATGAGCGAGAGTCCCCACGCCAGTTGGTACTGAATGAGGTGTTGAGCGTTTGGGGTCACGTGACGCTGGATTTGGATGCTTTTGGGCGAGACGGAGCTTCAATACATGGAGACTGAAAAGAGACGGCTTTATTAGCTATTTTAAGAGACGAAAGAAGATTTATTAAGGAATTTGAAAAGAATATTCGAGAATTTAGTTTAAAAGTATCATCGAAGCTGAACGCCGTTATGGATATGTAAAGAGAAACTTGTGAGTGTGAGAGCTATCATGATCAAGTATCACGGCAATATTAGCAAGGAAAGCTACAGTAGAGAAAATACAGAATCGAACAATCAGTCAATGTGCATATATGCACATATATTGCAAAATGCCTTCTTTAATTATTCGAATCCTAAACCAGAATGACTCCTAAACCCGCAACTTGGCCGGACATCACCAGTGAATCTATATACCTATGCAATGCTCCTCTTTCACGTCACCAACATCCGTTTCCACCTAAGCCACATGTACAAACGCTCGCTTCTTGGCGCTGCGCTCCTTGTTCTCCTCCTCCCACGTCTCATCAACGTACTCCTTGACACTCTTATCCCGGATCTGCATGCCCACCACCTTGAGCGCAGCAATGTTGACTCCCATCTCATCCTTCTGCTTCTTCAGGGCCGCTCGCAGGTTGGTCCGGATGCCATCCATCATGACCTTCATCGTCCGGCTGGCCACAATCTGCTTGTGATGCGTCTTTAGCATGAAGAACAGAATTCGGCATGTAAGAGGAATGTTCATCGACCGCATGGCGAAGATGTTGATGAACGTAAACAAGATGGGGACCGAGGCAAACGGAAGCACCAGCAGAGCGTCGTGTAGAGCGGAAGCCTTGATGCGCTGGAGCACAGACATGACGTAGGCCTCGGCGGTGATGTTGCCCAGGGCAAGGAAAACCGGGTTGCGCTGCGGAGGCATGGCGTGGGGATTCGTGAGCTTGGCCTCCTCGTATTCCTTTAACAGGTTCAAATCCGCCATGCCCATCTCCAAGGCCTCTGCTATTCTCTCACCAGCCATCAACGTCTCCGTGGTCTGCTTTCCCGCGGCGGCAACCTCGCCATTCTCGTCGCCTCCTTCGGGGTCCTTCTCCAAAGAAGCCGTCAAAGTACTCTCGTACAACTCTTCCAGTTCCTTTTCCCGTTCTTCCTCCAAGAAAATCTGCTCGTCGGTCTCGTCCCATACGCGAATGCTCTTGTCGTGACTGGCGGTGATGAGGAAGTTTCCGCTGTGGCTCATGGCTATGGACCAAATCTCGCCGTGGTGACCATCTAGCCTCTGAATTTGCTCAAACTTGTCCCCATCCCAATATCGAATGGTTCGATCTTTGCCGCTGCTGAAGAAGTGATGTCCGTTGCCATCGGAGTTGTGAGGGACAAAGGCCACTTGCAGAATACTGTCTTGGTGTCCAAACAAGGCCTTGTGGCAATCTCCAAAGTCGAGACCCCAAATTCTAATGTTTTTGTCTGCGGAACTCGTGACAATGAGCTTGCTATCATACGAGATATCCATGCTCAGTACAGGTAACTTGTGTCCGTAAAGGTTGAGGTATAGTTTGAGCGAGTCCACGAAGAAGACCTTGACCGTGCTGTCGAGAAGTGATACTGCCAGTAATCTGGCATCGGGTGAAAATCGGAGGCTGAGAATATCATCGGAAACCTTGAGTGTCCTGGACTGCACAAGCTTGAGCTTGGGGGTCGTTCGTTTTGTTCCCAAAACCTGCTCCTGCACAATCTTAAAGTCCCAGAATTTGGCGCTCTTGTCTGCGCTTCCAGAGACGACGGATCGGCCATCAGGGTGAACTTGCAACGCCCAGATGGCTCCCTCATGTGCCTCGACGCTGTCTAGGAGAGAGGCCGACGCAACATCAAATAGCTGCAGTTCGCCGTTCTTTGTGCCCACGACGACGACCTTGTCTCCAGGAAGGAAAGCACAGCAAAGAGCATATCCACACTCAAACGTTCGGATACACGTCTGGGTCTTGATGTTCCAAATCTTCAACAAGCCGTTGGAGGCCGATGCCAGCATCTTGTCGTCTGAGCTTAGTGACAGGGCTCGTATATCAGCTCTGTGTCCGGGAATCTCGACTGAGAATGCCTTGGTGTAGTCTGGGATATCGTCCTTTGATTTCTTTTCGCTCTTCTCCTTGGGCTGTACATTGTAGTACTCCAGCTGGTTGTTGGTAGTTCCCACCACTAGATGGATTTGCTTTTGGCCAGCCGGTAGAGCCCAGTCCATCGAACGGACCTTGCCGCCTGTTCTTAAGATGACGAATTGAACAAACACATCGCTAATGTCTGCTTTTGATACGTCTTCCTGCGCATCATCTCCATTCTCCATGTCGGCATCGTCGTTCTTGGCATCCTTTTGCTTCTCTCGTCTTCGCCGTCTTTTTCGGGCAAGGCCCTTTTTGACTTCAGATTCTGATCTGATGCGCCATATGTCGACGCTCTTGTCCGAACCATGAACGGCGAAATAGTCACGCTGGGGGTGGAAAATAACCTCAGTTGCTCGATCTTTGTTTTGTCGAAACAGAGTTCCCCGGTCTTGCAGAAACTGCGCGGATGCATTCACCTCCACCCGTTGGGCAGTCGAGGCCAGTCCCTCAACATCCAATGACCACACTTTCATCTCTCCATCGTTGCCTGCCGTGATGCAGCCGCTCAGGTCTGGAGACACGCCAAGGGCCCAGCACTCACCATTCGTTTGAGAAATGTGTGTTTCTATGCAGTGCCTTGACGACAGATCCCAGAGCTTGAGAAGAGAGTCTTTGCCAGTCGACAAAAGAAACCCGTCAGGCGCATCTTCGCCGTTGAGTATCATGGCTTTGTTTCCATCCTCGTCGCTCACTTGGGATTCGGGTTCCAAGAATCGGAGTCCTGTGATCTGGTCCTTGTGTCCGCGCAGCTTGAACTGTCCCACCTCGGCGACAAGGTCCCAGACAATGATGTCGGTGTCTTTGGAGCCGCTGGCAAGTCGCACTCCGGATTTATCAAAGACGAGATGCGTAATGGCGGATTTATGTCCATTGAAGTTGACTAGAACAGTGGCAATTTTGCTGTCCCAGATACGAATGCTTCCGTCTTCGTAGCCCACGGCAAACATGTCCTTGTCCACGCCGCTCTGCGCAATGGCAGTGACGGGGTAGGAGCATCTTTCATCTCTCCATCGACCGGTCAATTCACCCTTTTTAATGTCCCAGCACAAGACTTCTTCGTTTGCGGCCGTGATGGCCTGGCCTGCGCCAGTGCCCGTTCGGTCTTTGGATGTCCAGACGAGGTTCGAGGAGCCGGACAGGATTGTGCCAAATGATTTGGCGTGCTCGTACTTGCTGCGTCAATTATCAGTATGCTGTCTCGGCCTTGCCTTAGAATCGTTCTCAAGCTACTCACAGGTATGATTTGACCATGATTGTCGATGTCAACCTCAAACACTGGCTTTTGTTCTTGCCAAAGGAACTTGCATTTACACGCCCGCTGCTAGCCAATTGCGCGGGTATGGATATTTTTTTTCGTAGCGCTTATCGATAACAGGGATTCGGCTAGTGCTCCGCTGTGTTACAACTTATAGTGGCCTGCTTACCTACGATAGCGCTAAGCTCAGTGCTGTCACGTGGCGAGCTGCCCCCCAAGCTTGACGTCTTCAGCAACGTAGCTCAGCCCCACCACGGGGGTCGGAGTCGTCAACCAGCTCCAAGACGATCCGGAGAGACTCACCAGCAGTTGCCACAACAGAGCCGCCACGATGCTTCTTCTCGACTACCAGAACGCCCTGATTCAGTCGGTGCTTACCGAACGATTCTCCGGGTATAACATGGCCCATTGCCCTGAGGACGAGCCGAGCTGACTGCGGCACAGTGCCCCGCCCGTACACATCGACCAGACCGTATCCGACTTCGACGGCGTGACATTCCACATCTCGACTCCTGAGGTCAAGACAAAGATTCAACTCTCCATCGCGATCCGCTGCTTCAAGGACTTGGCCAAATACGGTGCGGAGCAGGTTCTCCAGCGCGAGTACGGCCAGTATGTTGTTCCGGTCGAGCCCGGCTACGACTTCTCGGTGCTCATTGATCTAGAGAACCTGCCGGAGTCCAAGGGTAGGCCATTGCGAATCACAGAAACATTCTTTCTTCTCAGCCATCAAGCTTACTCGGGGACATAGAGGAACGCGACGCGTTGGCGATGCAGTTCGCCCTGTTGAAGCGCCACGCAATGGCTGCGCCGTTCGAGGAAGCATACCAGGAGCACTATACGCTGAAAGAGGAGGCATCCAAGTTTAGCTCGGAAGATGCCCCCAAGGGTGTGATGGAAGGCGGCGAGGTCAAGGCCATCCACTACCGAGAGGAGGAGGCCATTTACGTCAAGGCCAGTCACGACCGTGTCACAGTCATCTTCAGCACAATCTTCCGTGAGGAGACCGACAGGGTGTACGGAAAGGTCTTTATCCAGGAGTTTGTCGATGCACGAAGACGAGCCATTCAGAATGCACCCCAGGTGCTGTTCAGAAACGACCCCCCGCTTGAGCTGCAGGGCGTTCCCGGCGTGCGAGATACTGGAACGGGAGAAATTGGATACGTCACATTCGGTAAGTACAGGATGGGCTATCAAACTGCTTGTTACTATAGACTTGGTTGTGCTAACTCGTTCAAAAGTTCTCTTCCCAAGACACCTAACCCCCCAGAAAATGGCGTCTGTCATCTCCCACATTCAGACTTTCCGAGACAACTTCCACTACCACATCAAGGCTTCCAAGGCATACATCCACTCCCGAATGAGGAAGCGAACCGCAGACTTCCTGCAAGGTGAGTACAATATGGTATGCGTCTATATGATCAGTATGCTAACGACTACAAAGTGTTGCGCCGCGCACGCCCAGAGAACGAGGAACGGGAACGAAAGACGGCCAGTGGCAGGACATTCAAGGTGCAGGGCAGCTAAAGAGAAGAGTAGAGCTTCATGCCTCTTCTCCCTCTCCGGCCAATTGTAGATTTAGGCATGGCATGTCGAGTAGATGCAGCCTCTTGTTAGAGCAGGGGGCTACTATAGGTAGTATTGAGGTTTGTGACTTATTGGCAGGTGTAGATGGATTTTATGATGGGAAACATTTAGCCATGACTCTTTTTCTCATAACCCCTGGCGATAACTCTTGCTATTTGCTTTGCATAAAATTCCCAAACTTGATCTTCCAGGGCAGACTGCATCAAATGACAATGGATGCCGTTGTATGTCATTTGCCAGCTCTGTTCTTTGTTCTCCGCCGTCTTTACAGTCTTGCTGATACTCGTTCGATGTCACTGCGGAGAACTCGCTGTGCGGCATAGTTACAGCGGACACGCCACTATAAAACCGATCCATGATTTTACTGTGGAACATCCATACACTACCTGAGGCTAGTCGACGGCCAGCCTCATATCTCGGCCTGCCGCTCAAAACTCAGCACCGTCGACCTTCCTGGTCGCAAATACGATGGTATGGCCATTTCGAGCCTCAGCTCCCGACAAGCGCGCAGACGATGACCATCAGCCCAAGAAGCGGCCCGTCTCATGGCCGGATTCCTTGGGCACAGGAGATTCGAGTCCGCTAGCAGCCGCCAAAGAATGGGCACCCGTGGTTGGCTTCTCCCTGGTCGGCCTTGCGGCGCTGCAGCTCTATGCGAATTACCTGCGCCGGATCCCAGGCGCTGCCTACGTGCGGCCCAATTTCTTCCGCAACAGGAGCCTGTTTGGCAGGGTGACGAGCGTTGGCGACGGCGACAACTTTCACCTTTTCCACACGCCAGGGGGGAGAGCCGTGGGCTGGGGATGGCTGAGAAAGGTCCCTGAGACGAGAAAGGAGCTCAAGGGACGGACTGTGAGGACCATCTCTGTTTCTCCCTTTGCTTTGATCAAAAGATGCGATTGCTAACATAGAGCGTAATTATAGATACCCATTCGCATCGCTGCGATTGATGCGCCAGAGGGGGCGCACTTTGGAAACCCAGCTCAGCCCTACTCAGACGAGGCCCTGCAGTGGCTTCGAAAGTACATCTTGAACCGAAACGTGCGTGCGTACATTTACAAGACGGATCAGTACCAGCGCATCGTGGCTACCGTCTATGTGCGCCGGTTTCTGCTGCGCAAGAATGTCGGCTTGGAGATGATCAAGAGCGGGCTGGCCACCGTCTACGAGGCAAAGACGGGCAGCGAGTTTGGGGGGCTCAAGGAACGATATGAGAGGGCCGAGGCCAAGGCGAAGAGGAAGCGCAAGGGAATGTGGGCTGGAGATCCCAAGACCTTTGAGAGTCCGAGGGAGTATAAGACAAAGTGGGCGTCGCAGCAAGACAAGACCCAATGAAGATTTAGGCAATTGTTGTTTGTTTTTTGAGGAAATGGAGGTACGAATGAATGATTTCTCAGTGTTCGTGTTCTGTTGCGTGAGTGAAGCTCTCATTCATTGGCATGGCTATCTATAGAACGAGGCTACGCAAGTGGGAAACATCTGCGGCAGTGGGTGTTTCGTGGTCAGCCCATCTTGGAGGACATTTCATCTACTAAGTTTTACCCCTTCCGCAGGTACTCGACCCGACGCTCCCGTGCTTTACAGCGAGATACTGTGTGAAACGAACGAACGGCATTCACCAATCGTGGCTTGGATTTACTCGAATGTCATCGTGGGGGGGACGTTGGGCATTCGCATAACCGGACCCGGGCCATTGTTTTCATGGCATGATCAGCAACTGGGTGTTATGTCTGTCAATGGCATGCACGGCCTGGGTTTGCAACAGCAAACAAACAAGTCAGAACGGCTAACGGTGACATGGGCCGCGGGACCCATGAGCTACATACGGCTTCTGAGCGTGATGAGCAATAGGATGTCGAAGCGATGATTTCAGACTTCACCCATGAGTGATCCGTGGATTGTGCGTCTTTCGGATCTCTTCCGGGCCCGTCTCCCAGCACTCCGTAGAACCTTGATGACTGGATCGACGGAGACTTTGTTTCTGTTTCCATGCAGGTCGTAGGTATTAGTACGAGCATTATACTGGCAGCGTTTCGCATCTTTGGCGGCCAAGCAAGAGTGGACCGACGCTTTGTGCCCCTGACATGATGTGATGCAACGACGCATTCCGCGAATGGGAATCCCGCTTGGACAAGACAAGAGCCGTGCTCCGATGCATCTCACAGTCGCAAACGCTGTCAGGGGTGTTTGCGGTAAAAGGCTTGCCATCTGCCCATTCTTTCTCTCTTGGAGATAATAATAGAAGAGCCTTCTTTGTAGCGTCCCATACCGTCAGTGGAGAGGCATCCATCATTAGCCCTGCCCTGTTCATTTGTTTCGAGGCTCACCAACAGAGCCTCCGTCACTCTTTTCCTACTCCGTGTTGTCTTTCCTTGTGCCCTCGTTTCAAAGACTCACGATCCATTCACTCGATCCCGTCGAGTTTAGTCATACACGCTGTACGATACCCTCTCGACTCCTCAGTTGCCGCTAAATCATCAGACTGTCGCACGAAGCTCTATTGCGCCGTTGTATGACGGGACCTTGTACCGAGTACAGCGTGTGCTCTGCTGATTTCTTAGTGAGTTGAGGCTGAGCACAGAGTACGTGTGCTGGCCGATTCGATCTCGTCGCGCACAATCTCGCTTCCACTCCCGGGCCAGCAACCACACACACCGCTCCAACATCGTCAACTTTGGGCTGCTCACACAGCAGTTTGAGTGTAACCCAGGAAAACTCAGGTACCAGAAGCCATCACGCGCTGGAGCGTTCCTGATTCCAGCGCCTCTCCCGCCTGGAGCCACTCGCTGTTGCTGCCCAGCGCACTAAACCTTATAAGGCTTAGCCGTCCTGGCCCAGGAGCAACAAGAGCAATTTCGCGCATTCTTTTGCTTTTCCTTCTCCAGCCCAACCAGCAGCCTCTTTTCGTCCTGCTCCATCAAAAACCCAGTCCAATTGCCCCATCACCAAACTCATCGCAGGCGACGAGACACTGCCCGAGCATTTCCTATTCGCGCGCTGCTTCGGCTTCAACAAAAAATTCATTGTTACGCTCGTTTCCCTCCTCGATCGATACCCAATCCAGCCCAGCTGTTATTTATTTCATCTTTAATTCCGCCTCCCCTGTCGTCTCGACTTTGCCGCCAGCCATCGATTCGTAATTCACATTCACCACGCACGCAACCCTAGACGCCGTGATGCGATAGCCTCAAACCCGCGACCTGAAATGACCATTAGAACATCATCGATTCCGACGTTTCCATCATCCTTCGCGTCGTCTGTCGCCCCGAAGCTGCGCCGTTCCGCCTTCTAGAACTTCATCATTTCGAATCATCATCTCTCCTTAGCCCACGCCCAAAACAACATGCGATTACCCTCACAACGACGCCGGGCGGCGCGACGCCCCCATCCGCTGCGCTCGAGCATTGCGTCGCTGGCAATCATTGCGCCCTCGCTTTCACACGCCTTCAACATCACAGCAGCTCCCTCTGCGAACCTCGATTTCTCCCAGCTGGGGAGCATAGGCATTGCCGGAGACTTCAAGGGAATTTCGCTCTACCAGTTTCAGGAGCAGATCGCACAGCCCCTGAGCACAAACGGCAGCGAATACCTGCTGACGCAGCTACCCAATGGCGCCCTCGCTCCCATTGCCGCAACCGACGCGTCGATTTTGGCCATGTGCTCAGTGACGCTCAAAGATGGTGCCGAGGGTGTCTTGTTGGGTGGTAATTTTACCAGTATGGATGGTATCAAGTCGACGGCCATTGCCCTCTATAATGCCAACACAACCACGTTTACGCCGCTTGAAGGGCTCGAGGGCGAGGTCAATGCACTGCTGTGCGACGATGCCAAGGGAATAGTCTACGTGGGCGGAAACCTTAAGGGGGGTAACTCGACAAATGCTATTGCGTGGAAGGTTGACGGCAACTTCACCAACCTGCCTTTTGCTGGTTTCAATGCCCCGGTGAGCTCCATTACAAAGGCATCCAACGGCCACATCATTTTCGGCGGGAGCTTCACTGGCCTGGGCAACGTTACTGCGCCAAACAAGGCGGATGGACAGGCAATCAATCTTTCTACCGCCAATATATCCGCTGACAATACTGCTTCGACCAAGGGCTTCGACGATCCCAAGAATGTCGTCTGCTCAGATGGTCTTGGGGGCTCAGGCAAGACTTGGTTGGTCCAGGACGAGGCTCCTGGCTCCTGGCAGGCCACCTTTGACTTTGGATTTGAGCCCACCAAGCTGCGGCTATGGAATACGCATCAAGATGGACGAGGCACAAAAACGTTCCGCTTTGTCGCCTTACCAATTGACGGCATCATGAACTTCACTTACATCGATCCTGCTACAGGAAAAAACTCGAGCTGCACAAGCGAGTGCCCGTTGAGCCACGACCCCAAGGTTCAGTTCCAAGACTTTCATTTCGTCAATAGCATTGGCATGAACTCTTTCCAAATCGACATATCAGATTGGTACGGAAAGGGAGCTGGTCTCAATAGTGTGCAACTGTTTGAGGACAACATGTTCTCCTACGCCATCAACACTTTCAACGAGCCAGCGTGCAACATTACCTTCCCTTCCAGCTCCACCGCAACCGGGCCTTGGAAGCAGTCGCCTTCTTTGCAGAGCGATTCAAAGTACCTGACCGCACAGCTTACCGGCCCCATTTCGTCCAAATCAGCATCCGTCGTCTTCGTGCCCAACATCATCGAATCCGGCAACTACTCCATCAACATGTATACCCCAGGCTGCGTTCCCGATGGCTCGTGCCAGACTAGAGGTCGCGTCAATATCACCGGCATCATGTCGAGTGGCACCATTCAATCAAACTTTACAACTTCCATCTACCAGACCAACAACTTTGACAAGTATGATCAGATCTTTTTTGGCTACATCGAAAGAACCTCAGACACCTTCAAGCCGAAAGTCACACTCAGCCCCCTCGATGGCCAAGACTTGACTGAAATGACCTTTGTTGCTCAAAAAGTCGGCTTCACCCTTCTCAACTCGACTGGAAACCTCAACGGCCTCTTCGACTTTGACCCAAGTCAAGTAAAGATCGACGCATCTAGCCTTGACGACTCGGCAGTCAACCAGCTTGGTGCAAGCTTCGATCATAATACGGGCGTCAACTCTCTCGCAACGTCTGGAGACGTCACTTATATCGGCGGCAACTTTACTTCGGATGCGCACCAGAATTTTGTGGCCATCGACACCAGCGGTAAGATCATGCCTCTCAACGGGGGGCTCAACGGTCAAGTGCGGGACATGTACCTCCAAGACACGAAGCTGTTCGTAGGTGGAGACTTTACAAACCTGCGATCCAACGGGAAAAGCGGTTTGAACCATGTGGCGGTTTATGACACCGAGAGCCAGGCCTGGAGCCCATTGGGTGCAGGCGTCAATGGCAGGGTTGAGCAGGTTGTGGCATTCCAGGTCAATATCAGCAGCGTGACCGAGGATGCCATTGCCCTGACGGGTTCCTTCACCGAGTGTGAAGCATTTAGCGGCTCTGGAGCACTTCCTGTCAACGGCTTTGCGGTTTGGATTTTATCAAGAGACAACTGGCTACAGAATCTGGATGGCCCAACTCCGGACTTTGGCGGAATGCTCACAGCCTCTCGAGTGAACCTCACCACTGGCAATTCCCTCTTCGCAGGCTCCATCGAGTCTTCTCAACTAGAGGCCAATGGTGCCGTGACGCTGGGTGACCCAGGATTGGGTCAATTCCCGGTTCATATCCAGCCCGGTAGTCAATCGACCGGCAACAAGCGACGAGATCTCTCTCCGGAGCCCACGTCTGGTGTTCTCACGGGAGCCTTTTACACTGGAAACAGTAGCAACAGCAACATCACAGTCCTCGCCGGTCACTTCTCTGCTCGGGCTTCTGATGGCTCTACCATCAATAACTTGGTGTTCATTGATGGTGCCAACAACAACTCCGTCAGCGGACTCGAGTCTGGCATATCCTCATCTTCAGTCTTCACAAGTGTCGCTTTTCACGGAAGCGTCCTCTTCGCAGGTGGAAATGTCACTGGCAATGTTGACGGTAGCAGCGTCAGCGGGCTTATCGCCTACGATGTTGCTTCCAAATCATTCTCCAGCCAGCAACCTGCGTCGCTCCTAGGCGGGAATCAGACACTGTCCGTCGTCACCGTTCGACCTGACACTTCGGAGATTTACGCAGGCGGCTCGTTCGAGAAGGCCGGCGCTCTGGACTGCCCTGGTGTTTGCACATATGATGCCGACACTGCTCAATGGTCAAGACCTGGCAGCACCCTGGCTGGACGAGTCAGCAGCTTCATGTGGTACAGCAAATCTCAACTCATTGCCGGTGGTGATTTGCGTACCAACGGAACCAGCACAGGATTCCTTGCCCTGTACGATGCCAACAAGCAGGTTTGGACGGACTTTGCCGGCGCCAGTCAGATCCCCGGCCCCGTCAACGCCATCACAGCCGGCTCGAATGACAACAGTCAGATCTGGATCTCCGGTAACTCGCCCAACGGATCTACCTTTATTATGAAGTATGACGGCAAACAATGGCAGACCCCTCAGCTGCTACCGCCTTCGGGCAGCGTTGTCCAGAGCTTGCAGGTTTTTACAGTGACTCAGGCCCACGCCAAATCAAATCTCTTCGATGACCGGGAGGTATTGATGCTCACGGGCTCCATCCCTTTCCCCAATGTCGGAATGGCCTCGGCTGTTATTTACAACGGCACCGACTACCTGCCCTATGCTCTTACCAGCACAGACACTGGAGCCGGAAGCATTGCCAGAGTATTCTCGCAAAAGGACAACTTCTTTACTTCTAGCGGTATGTTTCACCTTTCCCTCTCACCCGTTTTAGTTTCCCTTTTCTTACTAACGTTCTCTTCAACAGGTAAACACTTGCCTCTTGTCTTCGTTGTCCTTATCGGCCTCGCCATCTCGCTGGCACTCATAGTCATCCTCGTCGTTTCGGGAATCGTACTAGATCGGATACGCAAGAAGCGCGAAGGATATACACCAGCACCCACCTCCATGTATGATCGTGGAAGCGGTATTCAACGGATACCGCCGCGTGAACTACTTGAACAGCTTGAGAGAACCCGGCCTGGGGAGGCACCGCACGTATGAGGCTACGGCTCTACAGCGCGATAATAATTTTCAGCATACATATCCGATTCAGCGTCCGGCGTTTGGATAGGAGTTTGGAACACATCAAAATATTTGCAAAAACAAAAAACAAAAGGAAGAGGGGAGAAGGTCGAAAAGCAAGAGGAGAGTGACTCGAAACAGCGCCGTTACCTTGGGCAATCAAGTCGATACGGAGAAGTACCAGACGCTTAATATTTTCTCGAGCAAAACGACGTCTGGCCATCCTGTCACTTGCGCAAGGACTCCTTTAATATCTTGCCTTTCTGACAAAGACCTTTCTTTCTTTCTCATCATTACGAGGTTATGACTACTGGTTAATACGTTAACCTATCTCTGTTTATTCCTTTTTTTCTCCCGCATAGACACCTCTGGGTTTGGACCTTGATACCCAGTTTCAATGCTCGTTTTTTTCTCTCGTTTGACCGCCTCTTGACGGTGTCTTTTCAAAATGTATTATATATTTCAAACGGTCTCCGGCACAAAGACTGTTGCGGTTCTATATCGTGGTTTTTTTCTCGTTTCTTTTTGGAATTGGCTGCAGATAGGAGCAGGATTTGGTTTTGGGGGGAGGTTAGAGGAAGCTGGCTGTTTGTGACGTGAAATGAGAAAAGTGGAAGTGTTTCCCTCTCGCCGGCAGGTAGATGTGTCTTGGCACCTCTGGGATTGGGCATATGGGAAATAGAAGAGGAGCAGCCTAATCTGAGGGAAGGGAATATGGTTGGCAATGATGGAATTATTAAATAGTAATGCGTCTCGCGAGAGGTGACGAGGAACAATGCTTGAATGTTTGAATGTTGGAAGCCCGTTTTGAAATTTGCAAGTAGTTGTGTGCTTGATGAGGTGAATGTCGTCAACGTATTTACATCACAGGGCCTATCGAGGGGTGTATATTCATTGATTGTATGGTTGAAAGCGGCGAGATGTTCCGTCGACATCGTCGTCTTCTCTGGAGATGCCTGTTTGGAGGTTACTATCATGTTCTTGTTTTTTTTTTTCTCAAGACGCTTCATTATTCAATGGTTTCTGAACAACCCCCTCCTCTTTGTATAGACTTTTACTCAGTTTACAGTTTCAATTCGTGATTGCTACCATGTTCCCGAAGGTTGTGTATTTTCAACATCTATATACATGGCACAAAGTGCTCAATAGATTTGCAGAAGAGCCGTCAGTACCGGTGCTAAGTTTGCTATCCCACATCCCGTGTCTCGATTTAAGAGCTCATAGTAGCGATAGTAACAGAAAGTAGTAATAGTATCAGATATTACGAAACTCGGTATCATTTACTCAAGTAAGTGCTTGTATTGCCACCACACAGCAGAGCTGGGTAAACAAACACGGCTGCTTCAACCTGTAAAACGAGACGAGGCGCTAGAATGATTCAAGCAAGAAAAAAGCCGAGATGAGCGGATGAGTTGAATGACTTGTCCTAGCTGCTGCTACGTTGCGTGAGGCTCTACCACGCCAAAGTATACGAGAAGTTGTGTGCTCCATACGCTCAGCTCCTACCATTTCGAGCCCAGTCGCCAAGTCATTTGACATGTTTGTTGTGGGTTCCGTAGTTCTATCAGGCATCTCATCTCAACCTGAAACAATTACTATAGACACTCTCCCCAAATCTGCCAATCTGCAAGCCCCGAGTATAGATCAAAATAGGCTACGTTAGAGGGCATGACAATAATATCGAAAAGTTGCTAGCAAGGGAAATGTAGTACCCCATCTTATTTTCTCCAGATGAAGCTATTATAGTGCTTCTCGATGATATTAGCCCCCCCTCATGGCATATTACTCCAATTCCAAAAAAGCTTATGCCGGCGGGTCTTGTCACCCAGGGGTCCAAGGGCCAGGCAAAAAGGGTCCCCTGGTAAAGATCTAGCGGTTTGTTCGTAATATAAGCCAACATCGGCCGTCTGTGCGAATATCTCCGTGATTTTGATTAGACAGCGGCAGCTTGGCTGTACTTGGCGTATAGTCCCATTAGGCTCGTTGTTTCTCTCTCTCTCTCTCTCTCTCTCTCTTAGCTGGCTCCTCTCCCCCCCGGACCTACCGAGGGGGGCGAAGCAGTTTGAAAACTCAGCGGAGCAGGGATTCGGGGACGAGTTAATTGGGGACGCGCAGTCCGAGATTGATTAATACGTGGCGTCCACAGGGAGAGCAGCGAGTCGAATTCAGCAAGGAGAATGCTTGATCTGTTGGAGGCTCGGCAAAAGGGACGGAAGTTGGTTTATACAAGAGATACTGTGTCGATATGTACGAGTTTGTGGATGGGAATGTGTATGTTATCCATGTTATATTATGGATGCTACCCTGCATCTTATGACGGGAGTCAAAGTCCACTTTTCTGATATGTGGGCGATGGAGACGCTGAAATACGCTGTGATGCAGACATGCGACTTGCTTACGAGTATAGATGGACACCTACCAAAAATAGAAGGAAACTCATAAGAAAAGAAAATGTGGGATGGAAAAAGACCCTGCTAGCAAACAATGAAGATCAAGGTGATATGTAAACATCTGGCGTTACTGGATGATAGTGGCTTGGAAGGACTTGGTGAGAAAAAAAAAAGAAGACGCGGCCCTGGCTTGGCTTGTTACAGATTATTTTTAGAGTAGCTAGCCCAACTGAGCAAGTGTTTTGTGTGCGTGTGAGTTGCAAAATCCATGTGTGAGATTTCTCTTGGTGTTTCAAGCCGAGGCTCATGAGTGTGAGTGTCTGTTGGGTTACATACTCATGTTCTTATAACCTAGAATAGCATACATGTGATGCACCCGAGAGCTATGTATACCACCGAGATATGAACATATCGAGACAATTGAGTGATATCAGCATCACCTTCTTTTTGATATGAAATTCATTTCACATCAGCTTCCTGCACTCCCTATTTTTAGCAGCCAGGGGGCGGTCTTGTCCTGTCAATCTATCCGCATCAGAGACTGGGTTTCTGCTACAAAGCACGCGTTGCCCAAGTCTTAACTAAAACAATTGACAATTTGCAAAGAGAAGGACTAATAATAATAATAATATACACGGCCCGATACAGTGTGCATCAAACCTCTTACTCTAATCCAAAAGCCCTCTCCTCTGAACGGCAAAAATAATGACGGTGGCTTCGCCGGTTGAACAAGATGGTGCTACCAAGCAAGTTCCGCCGAAAACGCTCCTTGTTCTTGTACATAAGCTCACGTCCCTCCGTCGACATAGCAAACCTTGGACCTGAATTGATTTTATTCCAAACTTGGTAAAATGAATCATGGAAGGAAAAACTGGTTCTTTGGAAGCCTTCAAAAACGGCGCCACGCAATCATCCTTGCGGGAGAGGAGAAGCCACCGCGTTGGTGGCTACCGTCCACTTTATTGTTCTTTTTTGCTTGCGGCGTTTTTTCTTTCTTTTCATGATACAAACGTCAGTGGCACTGCCTAACAGAAGCCAAGGGGAAACGTTTTGACAGATGCTAAACTAGCCCGTCTAGTAACTTGAAAGTTCCCAACGCCAGCATGACTAGACAGGCGCAATTTGCATCCATCTCCAAGTTGCTGTTCACGGAGGAATACAATATAGTGCAGTCCGTTAGCATCGTGGCCCCCCGAAACAAGCGCTGTGGCCCGGGGAATTACAGCGCATGCCCGCCTGGAGCTTCAGCGGAACACAGTCTGATACTTGTGCACTTGGTACTTGCGCTTTTGGCCTGCAGCCCAGGGCCGCACTGTGCGCGGCTCCGCAGGTACTTGTGGCTCGGGAATCTGCGTCACAGTGCGTGGCTGTCACATATCAGTGATTTAATATCAAAATCAATCAAAATGCAACGGGGAGTTTTTTTTCTTTCCTTTTTTTCAATATCCAGAAGAGGAGAGAGTGAGAGAGGGGGGAGGAGATCTACACTGTCTCAACGGACCCCCCCCAAGAAAGGAGGTGTTTTTAATTCACAGGTACTGCTCATCTCAAAGCTAAGAGAATCTCCCAATTCGACTTGTAGGTATCACAGCAGGAATCTCTTTACCACAGAAACCTCCACCTCTTCTCCCTCCCTCGCCTCGGCACTCGCATCCTCGTACAGTCACCACTCACCCTCGTACACAGTCGTATTCCCGAGACCCACAACCAAGCAGACGCAAGCACAATCCTGCAATGAAGCCGCTGCCCAATGACGGCGCTACAGAATGACGTTTCGAGATCCATACTATGTGGGGCCCTAGCGCCATGCGAGGGGACCCTTGTGCCGCATCCACTGACGTCACCCGGACCCATCGAACAAAGGACGCTAGCTCTCGTCGGGGACTAGCGCTTCGACGGCAGGGAAAGCCTCCTCCACGGCGCGCGCCTTCTGAAGTTTGGGGATGCTGTCCTTGTTTTTTATCTTATTTTTGGAGAGGAATGTACTTTGGTACTGCGATGTAGTTGAGTGGCTGAAATCAGGTTTTTGCTGCTGTTTGCTTTGAAATTATACCCAGATACGTTTCACTGTTGGAGATGTGATACAGTTGAGGTCTATGTACATCATATGGGGAATATACCTTGGCTATTTGGTACTGAATCTCCAGTAGTTGATACTCCATAACAGGCGGAGAAATACAGTGCTCGTACGCACCAGAGGCGACTTTAAATGCCTGCTTGTACTAACACAACACGGCACCAATCAACAAATAAAGAGTCCCACCAACTTGAATCAAAAACCAGCTCTTCCCAACTCTCCAAATACTAACCGCAAACAGGCCGCCAACGACAAACAAAGCAGCAAAGGAGGAACCGCATTAAACCCAGATGACACGGCGGCGATCCGATACGATCCGATGCATCTTGCTAAAAAAAACGCAATGCTTTTTCATCTTGGCTCCCCTGAAGTCGGCTTCCCCTGATTCGCCCCCCCGTTCGTCTGGACTGCCCACTTCTGCCCACCCCCTTTCGCCATTGCCAGCAGCACGGAACTGCCCTAAACATAGAAGCTGAAGAGGAGCAAGTACTACATGGGAAAGCAGAAAATAG